AGAGAGAGAGAGAGAGAGAGAGAGAGAGAATTAAACTGAATTGTATTTTTGTGCAGAGAGAGAGAGAATTAAACTGAATTGTATATTTGTGCAGGATCGGCCTTCTACCAAGGTGCACTCAGCCCCTGGTGGAGGCTCCTCTCTTGGTTATCTCTTTGGTAATGGTGGCAGCAACTGAAGAGTTGCTGTCTCGCAATCTGCAAGTGTTTTCCGTTGTCTCGACAGTAGACAAGAACATTTGCAGTTTTATTATGTTTCTCTAAAAATCTTGTGGGTGTTTATTTGATGTAATATATGGCAACAATGCTTGAAATTATATATCATTAGCTCTAGACCCATTTGGGAGGCCCTTGAAAAAGCCTAAGTTGGTTCTTTATTTGATGAAAATCGAATTAGGTTCTCTGACTGATATTATCAAGTAGTATCACCATCTGTGTTTTTTTTTTTTTCCTTTTTGTTAGAGTGAGATCAAGTTTGGTTAAGTTTCAGATCAAAGTGCGAGTGGTTATGGTGCGAGGTGTTTTCAACTCCTCCCTTTTGGCGCCCAATTGCAGGAAGCATATGTTAGAGAGAGACACAGGCTCTTGGAGAAAACTTGTTGCATAGTTTCATTAGTAAGGAACTTCAAGTTAAAACAAATTTAGACAGAGAACTCGTGTCGTTGAAATTATTCAAATGACTTGGAAATTGGAAGGTAGCTGACTGATTGGAGAATGGGGAAGTTTGACAGCTAAAACCTGGAATCAAAATTGGAAATTTGTAATTCTGAAACTTTGAAAATAGAGAATTTGACTACCTAGCAATATAAAAATAGTGTTTGGTTTACGTGTATGGACTCTAGAATTATGTGGTTTTTAGAAAATGGGTGTGGTTTGCAGGATACTGCGACTTTAAACAATCAAAGGTGTACCAACTAATTTTATCATAAGATGAAATTTTGATGTAAAAAATTCTTAGCCTGGGAAATCCATTTTCATCTCTAATTATAAAATTTTAAACCTAAAAAATGGTTTAAATCAAGTAAATCTATAAACATATGAAAATCTTACTTTTTCAACAAAAAAAAAAAGAATTTTGAAATTAGGTGATCTAGATAATATGTTGCAAGGTGCACTATTTTTTTGGGATTGGAAATCTTTTTTTTTTATATATTATTTTGGGACTGAAATCTTTTCTTTTTATATATTATTAGAGGGTTTTCCAATTTCAAAACAGCCTATTATGATGGATTCTGCATTTTAAGATTGCAATCTTATACAAACTTTTCCCTTGGAAAAGAATGTTTGATTGGTTTAAACTGAAATTTCCAATTGGAACCGTCCCTTGAAGTTTTTGTTACTGAGATGGTAATATTTTACCTTCAAATGGTGTCGAGCAATATGGTTGCAATATTGGAAATCTTTGTGATAACCTTAGAATATATTTTTATATTTATTTATAAAGTTTAAAACTTCAAAAATAGTGTATATTGATATATCTATAAAAACTTGAAAATCTTGAAATTTGATGGTCTAAAAATGCGTTACAAAATACATTATTTCAAAAACTTGAAATCCATTTTGTTTTATATCTATGCATCTTGATGTCAAGATGATCAATTTGAAGATATTTGGGCATCAAAACAACTATCTTTTAATGAAATTTTTGAAGTAAGCTCAAATTTGATTGTTACCTCTTCTAATGTAGTTTTTAAGGTAGGCTCAAATTTGATTTTTTAGAGCCAAGTCTCTATATAAACTTTTTCCTTACTGAAATGGATGCTCTTTATTACATAAAAAAAATCAATTTTGGATTAGGTGAGAGCATGACCAAATATTTCAATTTTATTTTTTTTATACATCAAAGTGAGCTAAAATTTTGGGCTTCTTTATGTTTCACTTTCATGTACCTATCAAAAATATTGAAAAATAATTTGGACAATATAATAACCTCATCGACGGTAGAATACATATTTAATTATTTCAATTTTACTGCAGTTTCTATGCATTGGATTAAGCTAAAATCTGGGGCGTCCATGCTTCTTCCCTTCATGCACTTGTGACAAACATAAAATATGCTTTTAGAAAACATAAAATGATCGAAACACCCTTGAAACTCACCTTAACACTACTGCACTAACATTAGATCTTTGAGTGGATGGTTTGGAGTATTTTAATTTTAATTTTTTGTATATATTGGACGGATATAAAATTTGAGGCATCTGTACGTCCAAATAACTCTTACCTATAAAAAATATAAAACAAAATTTGTGAAAACAAAATTCCATTTATTTTTATATACATTTTTCCTCGTGAGAATTAATTGATTTTCTTTAAAGAAAATTTACCACAGTACTTATAAAGGATGTATTATTTAGCATTCTTCCCTTTTACAATTATTCTTTTGATCATATGTTTTTTTATGGGTATTTTAAATTAAATTAACTAATATAGAAACATTGTTAAATTGTCTATATCTCATCAGTAATTTGTTATGATCATATGTTCTTTTATGGGTATTTTAAATTAAATCAAATAAATAGAAACAGTGTTAAATTGTTTATATCTCATCAGTAATTTGATAAATTTGCCATCTCTAAAATCAAGCAACCCATCCAAAAATAAGTGTTTTTTATCTAATTTTTTTTTACCCCAACAACCATCCTCCTTTTTTATCAGTTTTTTCTCCCTCCTTTTCCCTGCTCTAAAAGATCTATACTATTAGTTTTGCATTAGAACCTCAATTCCAGTTCTTCCTCCCTCGTTTTCACTGCCCTAAAAGATCTATACCATTACTTTTGCATTAGAACCTCAATTCGACAAAATAATGTGCTTGAAAGTTTGGGGTTTGTCTTTTTCCAATTTCACGAGTTGTGGAGATCAAAGTCAAGATATTGGCGGTTTTGAGCCAGAATTGTACAACAGCATCATTCAGTGGATCTTTTGGAAAGGAAACGGATTATGGTGATCACAGGTTTGTATTTTAGACTTATTATGTTTATCCTCCGATGGGACCTTCAAGAGATCTTAGTTTTTCAATTGATTTTGAGAAAATGGGAGTTTTTTTGCCTTTTCTTTCATTAATTTGAGGCCTTGGGTCAAGACCGTAGAGACGGTATGGGTTTTCGTAGCACAATGTCTCTAGTTCCATTCTTATTAAAAAAAAAAAAAAACCCTCGGAGGTGATCCTACTTGCTTTAACAGATCATGAGTTCCAGCTTTTAAAAACATTTATTCTAAAGCTGCACATCACCAAAAAGAAAGCAGTAGTAATCAAAAGGAAACCATAAAAGGAAAATTGGAAATTTGTATATCACTAGGTTTAACAGATCATGAGTTCCTGCTTTTAAAAACATTTATTCTAAAGCTGCACATCACCAAAAAGCAACCAGTAGTAATCAACAGGAAACCATAAAACAAAAGGAAAAGTCGAAATTTGTATATCACTAACTACCACAAGTTCATAAAAGAGAAATCATATACAAACATTCAGAAGCTTAAGAACAGCCAAAAACTAGCCCTCACAAAACACCCCCCCCCCAAAACAGGCCCTGTCACAGCCTACATCACCTTCTCGGTGGAATGCTTGGATTTTCTGGAGAAGAAACCCATACAGGTTCGAATCTTTAAATTTGGAAAACCACCATTTTCTCTCTTTCTTTTTGGTTTTTCCCTTCGACTTCCCCTTTATAAATTCTAAAGAGGTGCTTTTTAGGGCAAGGAAGGCTGGCTGGATTTCTCTTCTCCGTGGGCTTCTATGACTGGATGTTGGTCACTGATTTTTGCTGCAAAATCTCAAATTATAAGTATCATGAAACCATGAATGTCATCACAAATGCAATTAATTACATTCGATTTCTAGAAAATTTTCAGAATAAATTGCGAGGTTAGAACTTAAAAAGGTAAAACTGTTAACCAACATGGCAAAATTTCCCCTCCCCTTCTTGTTTGTCTTCCTGAACCAAAATATCCCATCCTCATTATTACATTTCCATACAATTTCTAGAACAAAGAAAATTTATGGAAATAAATTAGTAGATAGAAAAAAAATAAAAAATTTTGCCTGCTTCTGTGGAAGCAAGTTGTATATTGCTCCCTCGGGCAAAAACCCATATTCAGTTAAATCATCCCAAGTGGGTGTTTTCCTGAGGGAATTTGCTACACCAGTAATTGACTATTGAAACCAAATTTAATCCTAAGAAATATATGTATAAGAAATTTCTTGAAGTGAACAAGGGTAATAAAATTTTCCATTTTTTTTTTCCCCTTCTATTAACATTATTCATGTGTGTGTTTGCACGGCAGCTAATCAACACAGGAGGGTGTGTGTGTGTCTGCATTTTTTTTCATTGATCATGCACATACATTTAGATGTTAGCATAAATTTAATTTAGAACAAATATACGAAAAGTGAGAGAAAAGATAAGGGGATTGAATTTGTACTCTGGTCTGATGGAGGAGGAAGAGTCTCCGCTTGGGTTGCATTATGCTCCGACTCCTTTTGTGGTGCTGGGGTGGGTCCAGCTGTCTCTGGCGTCTGCTGCAAAAGAGAGCACACTTAAAGACTAACCATGTATCTCTCTCTCTGACAATTGTGATCAACACCTCTTCAAAAAATTTGAGAGGAATGGGTTCATTCTCATCATCTGTTGCTGACCATGGAGGGTTGGGGATGCATAGAGCACACTGAATGTAATCTATGTGTATCATAGCATGATGCCTAGACAAACATTCAGAGAGAGAGAGAGACGCACACACATGCACACACACACACACAAACACATGCACACATAAAAGATAACACTAACTGTATGTCGTTGAGGAGGCTCATTCGAGGGAGCAGAAGTGTGAGGGTGAGAAGCAAGAGCAACCCCAGGTGATTCTTGAGTAGGGGTTCTTGAAACAGGAGAGGCATCTGCTGCTTTCTTTTGATCTGATTGCTTCATTGCCTGTTTGGCAGCTCTAGAAATCTTCAATTTTGGCTTGTGGACATCATTTAACTTGGCACCAGCCTCTCCAGCTATCTTTTTCCTGGTATATATATATGAAACAATAATTAAATAACATGAAAGAACACATTTTTTTCTTCTAGGTGGGCAAGCTAGGGTTTGAAACTTGGCTTGTGTTCTAGAGCACCAGAAAATCAACTGTGGTTTATTTATTTTTAACTTGGTGGGATTAAAAATCCAGCTTAGTCTCCCCTCAAAAAGAAACAGACGACAAACGAACAAAATTGTTGCTATTAGGACTCCAAGGATAGAGAAGAATACTCCTTGGGCAAGACCATGGCTAAATGATCATAAGCATGGCAGCGGCTCATTTACACTCACCGACTAAGGTAGGCATGGGCAGCATGACTAAAGTTCGGCTCATAAGAAAATAATATGCCCCGCAAAGGCTTGCCGTCAATATTAGTCTCAATATTGTAGCCATAACGGAATATGTCTGTTATCTTGGCTTCAAATATCTTTTCTTCTGGTGGTTTTACTTCAAATAAGGAGGCTTTCCCCATAGCTGCATCATAACATAGTACATTCAACAAAATAAGACATTCATAACAACCACCAAACGAACAATAGACAGTGTAAGGCATTTAAGTTCCTTAAAGAAAGCAATTTGGAAGCTTGATATTCTCCATTAAGTCAATACTTGCATGAGAAATCATCTAATGGTACTTGTAAACTTATTTTTAAGATCCCCGTTGCAATATAATGAGACTAAGCACATATTATACAACACATTAAGCATGAACTGCCACTATACAGAAGCAAAACACAGGTATTGCATTAAAGAAATAGTGTCTTATTACCAGCTTGGGAAAACATAGGCGGAGACATCAATGGGTAAGAATCAGGGGTCAGCTCAACCTTTCGCACGTCCTTATCTTTCTCAGACCCGCTTGAAGGAAGATATTGCTGTTGCCGCTTTCTCTTCAATTCCTTGCGAAGAGAGAACTTTTCTGGCCTTTGGTCACCTCGTCCATTTTCCGAAGACATATCTGTGTAAGCTATAGTCAGTATGGTTTTTCAGAATTGCTTTTTCTCTCTGATCAAATAATTAATCAGCAATTACACCATAGCATAAATTTATAAATTCAGAAAATCCAGAGAATACCACCAAAAGCTTGATCCAAGAGTTGACAAAAAGATGAGGGAAGAAACACAGGAAAAACCTATCAAGTTCAGAAAACCTTTAGCACTTTAGACGAAAAAATGGCAAGTTGTGGATTGTTTACAAGATCTCAGGAAAAATTGAAGATAATTCATTTCATATTTTATGTGTTCTTTTTAGTTTTTGTTTCATTTGGCCTTCAAGTAAGGACGGTGTTTAGAAACTCGTCTAATATTTGTCTGACATACTTGTACTTCTATACTTGATCAATGAAGAAAGCAAGATTCCCAAAAAGAAAAACTGTCATTTCTTGCGACTGTAATTTGTGTTTTCAAACTTGCACCCAAAACTACGAAAAATTACACCAAATACTACATGGAAAGAAGGAAAACAAAATAAAAGTCAAAGGAGCAGCCTAACCAAATTATCAAATGTAAAGTTCATAATATAGTTTAGAAGTTCCAAAACAATTAAAAAAAAAGTTCTAAAACTAGCATGACAGATTATTATTCCTACAACCCATATAAGAGGGCAATCCTTTTTTTATTGGAAATCCACATTAAGAAGATACAAGAAATGGCCATACCGGTGTATAAGTAAAACATGTCATCAAGGGCCTCGAGGTTTTCATTGCAACCTCCTATGAACACAAGAACCCCCTTCCGTGGATCCAAACAATCTCCAGCAACTGAAAACCTGGATGAAGGCCCTTGGCCCACATTAGAGATTTTATTCCAAACACCGGTTTCTGCAAACACAAATTGAATGAAGTGAGATTATCAGCAAAACCAAAATTCGGAAGGGTACCTGATCCCTCAACAATTACGTAGTACATAAACACTCATTTAAACATAATGATGCAGAGCGATAATAAATGGAGCCTTTGAGAACTGCAAGAGTCAATAATAGAAAAAGAAAATGATAAATGAAGGCACGTAGAATAGCTCATTGATTTCGTCTAGTGAAAGAGTAAGAAGATTACATACTTGGTATTTCTTTCACCATTAATATCAAGACGATGGATTCTGTACGTAGACTCTATATAACATACAGTGCACAGCTGGGGCATCAACCATCCATTCTCATCAACAGATGGCATAGACTAACTATGAATCTGGATGAGAAACACTAACTCAGGTTACGCCCAATCTCCATCATTGTTGAGCAAAGATGGTGAATACCCTGGCTGGGTACAAAATAGTTTCCCCATCACCAAAATGAGATGCAAAATCAATCTACAACTATGGATTCAGACATAAATTGAAATTAGAAAAATTTATTTTAACCCCAAAACAAGGGAATGAAGGACCCATGTACCAGAATAAGGTTTGGAAAACCCTAGCCATAAAAGGATTTCACAAAACAAAACAAAAACTGAAAAATATATGTAATTTCTCCAAATGAATTAACAATATTCTGCACAAAATAATTGATATCTCTTAGATGAAATAAGACACCATGCCCTAATCCCAGGGACCATGGGAGTCATCATCATCCAAGGTAATGATTGACGGTGACAGAGAGTAGAATCCACTGGAAAAGTAGACGACCCCAGAGTAGGTTCCAGTCTCTCTCCATTCCTGCCCACTGTGACACTGCACACTGATGAAACCAATGTACTATTTCTTTGATAAGCCACTGGATTATAGCATGCTTTCCCTAAATATATACCCGCATCCAGCACGTGGAGATCATCATATAGGTTGCGGTCATCAGTAAAGCCACCGAAAACAAACAATTTCTTCCCAAGAGCAACAGTTGCATGACCAGCACGAGGAGCTAGCATCTGCCCTGATGTGTTAAGCTCCCTCCAAACAAGAGTGTCTGCAAAAATCAGTTAATCTAAATTGTTAAACACAAATTTTAATTCCTGATAATTAAACAAAGAACCACAAGCACAACCTTCCTGAAGGTTGCAAAAAGTAGTAACATATCAAATATGTTCGCAATAGCAATAGAAAAGGAAACACGGGAAGATATGGTAACCCAAACAAGATCCCGTCACCAAATAATTCCTAAGTATTTTTAACCAAGGGGAGACATGATCATCAAGCAACACATAAGAGTTTAATTTTAAGGCAATAATGCATAAGGTTTTTAATTTGTACCATTATCAAAATCAAATATTAGGAGAACGGGAATAACCTGCATCTAGTATATGAACATCAGAAAGGTAATAGTCAGATGCATCTTCACCACCAAGCACAATAATTTTGTTCCTCCAAGATGAACAAGTATGGCTATCCCGTGCAGAGGGAGGGATGCCACTTGTTACAGCTCGCTTCCAAGTAAAACTCTCTGCAAGTAAATACTTAACCATGTTAGAAATTAAATATGGAAGGAAAAAGGGGGGGGAGGGGGGAAATTAAGCATGCCAAACCCTGTCAAATATAGAGTATCACACTAGCAAGTAGACAAGAACAAAGGCTATAAAAGGTATTTTATTGTCCAATGGGTTGGGGAATATCATAGTGCCTTGGGGTCATATCCTGTTTTAGTTGATCTCTTTCTCCATTACCACCCATCATTTCAGCGGACAATCATGACCCAATGAACTGTGAAGTCCGTAGTCCATCAGATTAAGTATTCATTCCCAATACAGTAACCATAATTTGTTTAGCTAAGCACTTCAATATGATATCCACACAACACCAGATGGGGCATAAATTGGGAATGCTACCTGTGTCCAATATGTATAGATCATTATAATATACTTCTTCTGGTTCATTGCGAGACTTCCCACACCCTCCAAATATGAAAAGACGCTTGTCAATGAGTGCTGCACTGTGTCCTTCTCGTGCATCAGGACCATCACCAACCAAATTTGGTTGCATCCATGTGTTGGTAACTATAAAATGCAGTACAGTTAGTGGGTAGTTAATATGTCAAAGTAACAAAAAATTGGCATGAATATTAAAATATATCCACTAGCCAACCATTACTAATCACATATTATTAACATGGCCTTTAACTTCTTACAGTTAGAAGAAAATAGACCCATTTCTTTTTTTTTTGTAAAAATGAACCAGTGGTAGTAGGAAACCTCAGGGCTCTGTTCCAATCTCAGCCTATACAAACACCTTGTCAAATTTAGCTTTATCAACCCAAAGAAGCACGAGAATAGACTCATGCCCCTTTTTTTACCTCTGTTATTCGGAAAAGGGGGAAGAATTCCAAATTTATCTTCTTTTTCATTTTTCAAGAATTTCATTATTTGATGAATAAGAACCAAGGACATTAAGAATGGACATTAAGACCTAATGAAGCAATCAAACTTAGTAAAAATGGATTTTGCCATAGAACATGCACCAATGAAAATAGAATCATCCATTCCCAATTCCCCACTATCATAGTGGAAAACTACAAGAGTTACCTAGAACGAATAGAAACAAAAAATGGTGATTTATGTACCCAAACTAGATGGAAAAACCGAAAACAATATGGAAATCCTCAGCTTCATGTTTCTCCACTGGCCTCCGACAAGGACTGATAATATGAGAAGATGGTACATCATGTTATATATAGTAACAAAAGGCTAATTGGTAAAGATGTTATTAAAACACATATAGTTTTCCCATAGCATAAGATGTTCAGCTGAAATAGCATTTGCAGTTTCACTCGCAAAGACTGTAGAACTTCCCATAACAACTGGATAATTATGAGAACAACCTTTTCTTTAATTTTGGGGTTAACAATGAGAATAACTTCTCAAGCTCAGTGAGCAGAATTTCATTCACGAGGTCCATAGAACTTCCCATAGAATTTCCCATCATGGCAGGATAAGAATTAGCTTCTCATATCTGTACTTATAAGAATATGTCCATTACCCCCAAACAATATTCAAGCAGCCCATACAATGAAATTCGCGCAACATTGACACGTTTTTGTACATATTCATGCTGGCCAATGATTAACTTAATGGGCATTTGGTTGCATGTCAAGAACTTATCCATTCTACGTAATGTTTATCTAGTTCGACATAGAAGTTGAAATATGAAAGAAAACAGAGTTTTTCTTTCCTTTTTTTTTTTTAGTTGGGATAGAAAGAAATGCAAGTTAAATACTTCAATTGTATAATAGAATAGGATATAACTGGACCAAGCAAACCGATGATATAAGCTTAACAAAACCATTATAACTCAAATCATCAATGACCATTTCCAATGATATCGTGGAGGGAAAATTAAGGAGTAAAAATTAAAATAAGCAGAGGATACAGATAAAAAAAAACTTACTTGTATCGAGAATATGCAAATCCTTGAGTGGGTTCTTCCCATCTGTACCACCAAACACAAATAAATTGTTCCCAACAGTGGTGCAGCTATGACTGTCTCTTGGGGAAGGCGGTATGCCTTTCACCATCGGCTTGCTCCATGTTTGCTTCACTGTAAAGCCCAAGAAAATAGCACCCCAGTACCCAGCAAAATAAACAACACATGCAAGAATGACCAAACTCAAAATATATAAAAAAGAAGAACCAACAAAAGAAACCAAGGAACAAATCATGGAAATCATTCCACCACATAAATTTTATAAATAATACAATAATATGAATATAAACAGAGAGACATTACCCACATGTGTCAAATACATGAACATCATTGGTTTGACAGTTGTCTTTGCCATAACCTCCAAAAACATAGAGAAACCTCCCTCCTTTGATGGAATTGCAGGTATGACCCCATCTCTTTCCTGGCCCCAGAATACCACCTTTCCTACCGGGAGATTTCCTCCCCTCCAGTGGTTGGATTTCCTTCAATTTCATCTTTAATTTCACTCTTTCCCATCTCATTTTTGCCGAAATTCACTAACAAAAAAGCTAAACAAAATTAATTATAATTCTCAGAAATCTAGCAACTCATGCACATTCAATGCAGTAATCATGGGAAAATGAAGTTATTACAGGGTTTGAACAGTAATCTCAAAGTATAAGAAATGGGTCCAAAACTAAGATCAGTGTAATAGAAAAACACACAAAACCGAGCACCACATTTAAAAAGAAACAAAACAAGGCTTATTCCATTTATATAGATGGTTCATTTTATGGCCATCGAGATGATTCAGGTTTCATTGAGTTTTCATTAGAGAAAATAAAATATTATGGGAAATGGACAAACATAACGAACCGTGAAAACAACAGAAAAAGCCCCAACAAAGCCAAACAAAATTAATTATAATTCTCAGAAATCCAGCAACTCGTGAACATTCAATGCAGTATCATGGGAAAGTGAAGTTATTACAGGGTTTGAAGAGTAATCTCAAAATATAAGAAACGGGTCCAAAACTAAGATCAGTGTAATAGAAAAACGCACAAAACCGAACCCCACATTTAAAAAGAAACAAAATAAGGCTTATTCCATTCATATAGACGGTTTTTTTTTATGGCCATGGAGATGATTCAGGTTTCATTGAGTTTTATTAGAGAAAAGAATACGTTTCATTGAGTTTTATTAGAGAAAAAAAAATATTACGGGAAATGGACAAACATATCGAATGGTGAAAACAACAGCAAAAACCCCAACTCGTAATATCCTGCCTGAAACACATTTCACACCATAATCATGGAAAACCTATATTTTTAACAGCATATAAAGAAAAATTGAAAATGGGGAAATGGGTATTGCTATTTAGGTTAAACCAATAAACAATCAACTCACCAACTTGTAAGAGCCCGAAGTTATTAAGATTACGGGCAATGGAAAATCTGGATTTCAGCAGATTTATTAAGATTAAGAAAATTGGTGGATAATGAAGCTAGACTAATAAAATAGCAACAGGATATTACTTTTTGTAAGCAGTATAAAGAGAAAGGTAAATGGGGTACCTGAACCAAGGTGGTGGGGGTAAAAAGCAAGAGTTTGTCTAGAGAGAGAGGGGAAGTTTCTTGTTGTATAAAAAGTAGGGGTTTGTCTATAGAGTAGAGAGAGAGAGAGAGAGAGAGAGAGGT